TCTTTTATACAAGAAATGACTATTGTGGTGAATGTTAGATTTTTATGGTTAAAATGGAAAATGGTTGGTTTGACAAAGCTATACTTAAAAGTACCCCCACTAATTTGCCCAAACTCCAAGTGCACGGTAACATTTTCTGACTCTTTCCCCACGACAAGAAATTAAAAATTTTCTTTTAATCTGCCCTAGTTTTGAATTTTTTTTTATCTCTTTCCTAAAACCCACATTTTCTTGGACCCTCAAATTTGCAACAAAAACTTTCTTGATCATGTGATTTTTCTGTTTAATATTGGAGATTTTTCTGTTTAGGGCTTGTTTGAGCCACATTATTCCAAAAAAATACATTCTTAAACAGTGATTTGACATCATTTCACCCACACATTTTTCAACAAAATAATATTACACGCAGATCAAAAACTTTTCCTTATTTATTAACTAAACATTTTCCATCAATACACTATTCAAGAATGCATTATTACCAAAATAATGTGGCTCAAACACCCCATTAATATTAAATATTTTGATTATGTGAATGTTGAATATTGGTAATATTTGTGATGGATTTTTGAAATCTTAATTTCTGTCAATTAGCTAAACAATTAGTGATGATTTTCTGGTGTCTACCAATTTGTAAAAATTAGTAGTTATTTTCTCATCAATTAGCAGTGTCAAACGTCAATGAAGAGATTCTTTAAAAGGAAATATTTTGTAGAAAATATTGATAAGGAGATATCGAATAAAATTGATTTTGATGCTGCACAACTGGCTACAAATCCTAAAATAAGAAAGGAGATTATTATTTTATTAGTATTGTCATTATGTCATTTTTAGCATTGTCATAATATCATTAAATTCATAATCGAAAAATTCAACCTTGAATAATTTTTGCCCGCACTGGACAAAATTCCTAACTTCGTTCCTGCATCAAACATTAAGATGACATATGCACAAACACGTAATGCAAGTAATTTAACTCATGTAGTGCAAGCATAAAATGAATACCGATAAACTAAAATCCATCTCACAGCCACTTCGTTTATGCAACAAATGGTGCAAAAGAATTACTAATTTCTATCATATATCAACAAGCATAGTTATCGATAGACGGAATATCTAAACATGATACTAGAAACTTGATTATACAGTACGAATTCTTGATCACATAACAACCACTTTTCCTATGTGGTCTATGAATTTGAAATTTGAGATTATATTTTTTTGTATGAGATTTATATAAAATAAAAAAAATTATTTCCTTTTCCTAAACTCTAACATCAGATCAATGAAATTAATTTAAGTAAATAATATATTTTAAATATTTTAAATAGTGCCTAATTGAGTATTCCAACATTGTAAAAATAAACAAAAATTCTTAATAGCAATCTTCTTTTTAATATTTTTGTTCAATGAATATAAATTTAATAATTTTTAATGTTAGTCGTTATTACGTAGATACAAATGAAGTTCTTATTCGATTTGTGTTAGGGTCGTTCTGCAACTTAAAAAATTGCTTAGCATGCATGCATAAGTTGCATTTTATTAGTATCTATTGTGGATAATTTTTCGTTTTAGCAAGATTTGTAGAAGAGATAAACTTATGAATATAATTAATAAAAATATATAATTTTGGGTAAAAATAAGAGTGGGAAAAAAATTATGTAAATGATTTAGTAAAAAACTTGATTGGATGTTAATTTATGGGGGATGCATGAATGAGATCGAAAAAAATATAATTCAGATGAAATTGACATAGTAATTGAACAAACAAATTATACCGTTTGTATTATATTATGTAACACTTTATACACTCATTTGTTAATTATTTTTTATTCTCCAAATTTTCGATTAAGTGTCTTTTGGTCTAGTTTAACTATTCTAACGGCACGGAATTTATTTATTTATTTATTTTTTTTTAGCAAAAGTTATTTTTTGTTATCATATATAAAATGTGAAAAATATGGTATTGTAAAGTAATAGGGTTAGGTGAGGTAAGATTACAAGGAGCAGGATCAGAGCCGGTTCCAATGGCCTTGGGCCTCAACATATAGGGGGCCTCAAAAAAATAAAAATAAAAAATAAAAATCAAAGTTCAAAAATACTATGTTTTGTACAAAATTTATGGAATCCTTACATTAAATATTTGCTTGAAGATGTAGTAGTGCAAATAGAAGAAAAGTTGTCCCACAACCCAGTAATGAGATTTTTTTTTTTTTTATTTGGTGTAATTATTCAAGGGTATTTTTTACTTTGTAGATTTGATTGCTTCTTTAGAATTTTTATTTCTTTTTAATGTAGAAATTTTAGGTAATAAATGATAGTCACCACTCACATGCCTCACGGGTTTTCAGAAGGCTATAGTTCTATTTCTTAAATGCGAAATTTGATTCTTGAACAAATTAAATGGTGAGTGAGTGTCATCAACTTAATGTTCTTTATCACAAGAAATTGTATTTGAATCGACCATCACTGATGCTAACGGAAACAGTCACATATACATCCTGACAAGATATTAATTCACATCTTACTATGTCATGATAATATTAACTAAAAATAATAGATTGAAGGTTAAATATGTTTAAAATACTAGATCCTAAAATTAAATCCCAAACCGGAATTTGTAGCTGATGTAAATTTAAATTGTCTCATTCTAGTCCTTCCGTAAATAGAATTTAGTTCAAAAAAAAAAAAAAAATGTATGATGAACGTACACATTCATTGCATGCTAATCCAAATACAGAAAAATATTACTACGTTGAAAACATTTGTGTTGAACCATATTAATCTTCTAAAGCGATCGATACACATATTGTTTGACTAAATATTGTCAAGATTTTCACTATATCACTAGGTATGTTTCAATATAATTTAGGGATTTTGGATGTGGAATATGAAAGGACGATAATTTAGGGATTTTGTTCTTTAATTTGACATAATAAGGGCGTGTTTGTTGAAGTAATCTTAGCTAGGTAATGAATAACTGATTATTAGTTTACTTTTTCACATTTCTTTTTACTATATAAAAACAATATGTATGGTTAAAAAATGTTGAAATCACAAATATTTATTAAAAAGTAGGTGTGTAGCATAATTTTCTTTTGACGTTAAAGAGATTACTAAGCTGGTAAAAAAATTTAGTTAGGGACCTCATAACATTTCTTTCCCTTGAGCCTCAAAATTTTTAGGGAGGGACGAGATTTCAGAGGATAGGATTAGGGGAGATAGAATTAAGGCGAATTATGGAGTATTATTCAAATGCAACGTTTAGTGCTATAATGTATTGGAAGATCGTGCAATAAAAAATGAAAAAATTATGACTATATATAATCCTACTTATAAGAAATATATTAAACTTATTAAAAGAAATTTACATCTAGTAATTTGTATGTAAATATATTTTTTAGGAGGATCTCCAATTCTAAAGTGAATTGTTTTTAGGAAAAAAAAAAAATTACTACATAAACTAAAATGACAATTTTTGGAAAAGTTTCGAAGAAGGATCCTTTCCTTTTTTCGGAAGAAAATGAGGATTTGAACAAAATTGATGAAACAGAAGAAATTTGAGTGAATGGAAAGAAAAGCACAGGATGACGTGACAAGAAAAAAGTAGACTTTGTAAAGAAATTCATCTAAATGTGGAGGATTGATCATACGGGGTGAATCAACAACATTTCTTATTTTTTTCCTATCCTATTTATTATTTTCCCTCTCTTATCAACTTACATTAGAAATGAAATTTCAGTTGTAGACAAAATTCAATAGAGATGAAATTTGAACTTAGTTGTCCATTTATTGGACATCAACATTACATAGATCGAAAGTTTTTCAATTTACGTGCCATCTAGATAACAAATTTTTTTTCGATTTACATGCCACCTAGATATCAATTCACATAATGAAGAAGATGCACTTATAATTGAATTTTTAACATAAAAGTTAATTTTATCTTATAAGTAGCTTTTTTATTTACAAGTGAATTTTTAAGTTATAAGTAGTATTTTCACTTGTAAGCAATATTTTTTTGAATATAAGTGATTATAAGTACTTTTTTACTCATAAGTAAATTTTATAGTTACAAGTAATTTTAGTGAGTTTTTTTAGATATAAGTTGTTATAGGCAATTTTTACATAAACTGAATCAATATCTTATAAATTTAGAGCTTGTTGGGGAGATACATTTTCAAGTTGAAAACTGATTTTTTTAAATTTTATTTTAAAAATATTTGGTTAAAAAGTTAGAAAAAATTATGAATTATATAAAATGTGGGGTTGAAAATGATTTTTTTTAAAAAAAAAATCTCTCCAAAACAAGCTTATATGTAATATTTTGTGCATTAGAGAATATTTTAGGTATTTAGTATTTTAACCACAAGCAATTTTTTTTACATGGAAATTAATTATTGTATCATAAATGATTTTTTTAAATTTTTAAGTGATTTTATTAATTATAAATAATTTTGTCACTCATAAGTGAATCTTTAAATTATAAAGTAGGGTTTTTTTTACTTATATCTATTTTTTTTTTACTCATATAAAAATTCGTACAATATTTTCTCTGTTTTTCATCACTTAAAATTACAAGTAATAAATATTATAGCTTAATTCACTTTATTGGCCGACTTAATTTAATACAAAATTGTTATAGAAGGATTTACAACTAGGATAAAAGTATTTCAGTATTATCAATATAAAAACCCTATCGAGATAATTTTATCTTATGTCGCGTAATACAGTATACCAAACATATTATTTTTTGTAAATTTCCCTAAAAGATAAGGTAAATTATCAAAATGAAAAAGAATTGAAAGTAAATAACTAATATAAAACAAACTTATAAATTAGGTGACATCTAGGGAAATTTTGCTACTATCTTGCCCCGTCAAATTAGACCGTTAAATGGCCATTTCGAAATTTTAACATGGACAAATACGACACCGTTGGGCTTTCGCTTGTAATTTTTAAAAGGTACGCAAGGAATTGAAACTTCACCATACGGTCGGTCGCTTGGGAGTAAAGAAATAAAAAAATGAATATAAAAAGCTCTGGACTCTGAACGCGGAATCACTTTTCCAATTTCCCTCCGATAAGTCAACTTACATCGGAGAGGATTCAAAATCAAGCGCATTTCGTGATTAATTTAGGTTTCTATTCTTTTTTGTTGAAATTGGGTAATTATTGTAAAGTTTGGCGGACGAAGGTAGTTGGCCGTCAATGGATCTGCTACGATCGGAGCCGATGCAGTTGGTGCAGTTGATTATTCCATTTGAATCAGCGCATAGAACGATTTCCTATCTCGGTGATCTTGGCCTCTTTCAATTCAATGACGTATGCTATATTTTTTTCATATCTGAATCTCTATATGAGCAATTCTGATTATAAAACATCAATTCATAATGTATACACATACACCTATTAAGTTCATTTTGGAAATGTTATTCTTAATGATTTCGAATTCTCTGTTGTTCATTTTTGCTTTTACTGAGAATTGCTAATTGTTGTCGATTCACTGATCTCTATCGGTTTTTGAAGGATTAAAAAACTGCTGCTTCATTTTTTTTCTGGCATTTCCTTATGACATGTTTGACGTATCATATTAGTTCAGTGTTTTGCTTTTTGTTTAAATTTTGAGAAATTTTCTGGGAATTGAAGAGTTTCAAATATCTGAAAGTGTCAAAATTAATTTAAGTTGCAACCTGTTGATTATGATATTATTAAAAATAATTAGTCGGCTAATATATAAATTCTTATGTTTTGGGGTATATGATTTTGCTAGGCATAAAACTTAAATAGGGATGGTTATAGACTAAGCGAGCTGCTACAGAATCAAAGACAGTTAATTGTCTTGATTTATTAATTGGGGATGTTTTTCTGTGCTGATCTTGTGTCGATATTGAAATTAATTTCTCATAAAGGTTTACCAATGTCATTTCTTCTGTTGTTTTTCTTTGCATTCTTGGTCAACACTTGTGATGAAACAATGCATTTTTCATTATTTTCCTGACCTTATTTTAAAGGGTTCTGTAACGTATATGATGGGTATTGGCCATGTTTTTGTTGAGTTCCATGCTTAGGATTAGTTGTTGCACTGGCTGTAAATTCTTGTTCATTTACAAGTGCACTATACATGTGATGCTCAACTTTTGTATAGTAACTTATTTGTTTCTTTGTCAGCTAAATGCAGAAAAGAGCCCATTCCAAAGAACATATGCTGCACAGGTTTGTTTAGTTTCATCTTTCTCCTCGTGCATGCTAATGGCAAATTCTTTGAAAACTGTAATTTTTGTACAATTAGAGATATATTTTAATTTTGATGTGTAGTAAACTGTCATCTTGCTTTAAATTTAATGGAGTCTTGGTGGAATGTTTTACTGAGTTATTTGCTTCCTCAGTACCTTCAGTACTTGTACTTTATTTAAATTACAATGCTAGACAAATTGTAGTAGACACACATATACCATCGTTCATTGCCAAAATTTGGCTTCTTGTAGAAGAGGATTATACTCAATAATAGACTCGGCTGATCATGCATGGTGCAATCTCTTTACTGACCCCCAAATCGGTCCATCTTATTCCAAATGCATAATGGTGTTAGTTTATGAGCTCCAAATTTGAGATTTTTCCTTTCTGAGAAGCTTCATTTGGGTACTTGTTGAATGTGCAAGAATCTACTAAGGAAGCTTCTTGTACTGCATGTTGTTCTTAACTAAACCCTGGTCCTGGGAGTTAAATCCTGCTATGTATCTGGAGTAATTTTGTGCTAATGTCCTCATTGCTTGGAATCAACTACGGGCTTTTATACCACAGTTGATTGCTTCCCCATGTGATCTTGCCTTAACAAATGTAAGCGTCCTCGTAATTTGTCTTGTAACAGCTGATAAAATTGTCAGGTTAGTATCTTGTAGCTGATCTTGATGTTGACATGATCAAAAGAGTGATATCGATCTTTGTCTTCAGAGTTTTAAGAAACAAAAATCTTTCTTGTCAACTCCAAACCTTTTATCTCAATACTCTGATGTCTTTAGTTTTGAACATTTACCAATTCTGATTAAGACCTCGCCATAGGACATTCTGGTTTTTAATTACATGTTCTAATTTACTAGTAACAAGAAAAAATTCACATTACTCTGTGCAGATCAAAAGATGCGGGGAGATGGCACGCAAGCTACGGTTTTTCCTCGATCAAATGATAAAGGCAGGTTTATCGCCCTCATCAAGGTCTTCAGCTGGCCCCTATGTCAATTTGGATGAATTGGAGGTTATCTCAACTCTTTGCTTTAAAGGTTTTTCGTAGTATGTGATTTCTAATGTACAATATATATGTATATGCAACCGTGTGAGTGTATCCCTATCATTTAATAGTATAATCTTGTAAGTTTTCTGCTCTTTATGCTGTGTACACTTTTGGACTGATGAGAGTTTTACAACAAATACACATTTGGACAGGTGAAACTTGGAGAACTTGAAGTAGAGCTGGTTGAGATGAATGCAAACAATGAAAAGCTGCAACGATCGTATAATGAACTTCTAGAATATAAGCTTGTTCTACAGAAAGTAATGTCAATCTCCTTTTTTAGCTTTCCAGCTGTAAAAGTTTACATTTATTCTGCATGAACCTTTGTGCTTCTCAATTTATGTAGTTGGATAACAGCTCTTACCAATCTCTAATATGAATAAGATTATGTATTTCTTGATTCAGGCCAGTCAGTTTTTCCATTCAGCTCAAAACAGTGCTGCAGCTCAACACAAAGAATTTGAATCACATATCCTTGGCGAGGGATCAGTTGATCGTCCCCTGTTACTTGAGCAAGTACTATTAAATGGATCATGATTATCTTTTCCACTCCAGTCGATATTCTTCATTAATGTTTGTTTAATATATTGCTTATGATATTGGTAGGAAATGTCAACAGATCCCTCAAATCAAGTGAAGCTGGGATTTGTTAGTGGACTTGTTGGTAGAGAAAAATCTATGGCTTTTGAAAGAATTCTGTTTAGAGCAACCAGGGGAAATGTGTTTCTTAGACAAGTGGTAATGGAAGATCCAGTGATTGATCCGGTGTCAGGAGATAAGGTAATAATAGATGTTCGTTCACTAATTCTGAATTCTGGAGTTACACAATGATGGAACTTTTGTTATCTTATCATGCATGCTTCTTTTGAAAATAGAATTATCGAAGTTCAGAATCAATTATCTTCTTTTCGGTTTGTGTTGGCTTGTTGCTGATGCATAATAAGGTGTATTGTGTGTGCATCTAAACCAATCTTCGCCTCCTGCCTAAAAGAAATAAAATTAGAAAAAAGGAGTAAAAAGAAGTCGTGTTTCGCCACTGCATTTCTTGGTTATTTTGCAACCTTGTTTGTTGCACAGTATATGTACTTTTGTTTACACTTCAGTTAGTTTCATCAATCAAATGTTCACTCTCTTATACAAGGAAATGATAAATGATGACTTTCAGGTTGAGAAAAATGTTTTCGTTGTGTTCTATTCTGGAGAGAGAGCAAAGAGCAAAATATTGAAAATATGTGATGCATTTGGAGCAAATCGATATCCATTTACAGATGATCAGGGCAAACAATACCAGATGATAACAGAGGTATATAACGAAATCTTGACTATTTGAAAATGCCAGTCATCAGTCTTTGGCTATGATATCTTTGTTTTCCAGGCTGCGCTTAAGAGTTAACAACAGTTCTGCTGTAATATTCCTTTTTTCTTTATTCAGATTAATGAATACTATTGCTATCATATAATCTCTTTTTGGCTTGTAAATCATGGTTAACTTTTATTGTTTGTTAAATGCACAAGCTGTCAAGTACAATTACAGGTAATAATTTCTTATTTCATTACAAATGTTGCTTTATCTGAGATTTGTATTGTTGTGTTCGTAGGTTTTAGGGAAGCTTTCAGAATTGAAGGCCACTATAATCCTCAACTTCACTATGAATCAAAAATTTATATACTTCTCCAGGGAGGAAGTCAGTCTCTCTCTCTCTCTCTCTCTCATGAGGAATTGATGAGTGTTATTTGCATGATAAATTAATATTTAATCACTGAAATGAAACTCTTACAAATTGTAAAGGTGAAGAAGGAAAAATCTATTTACCACACTTTAAATATGCTCAGTCTTGATGTGACGAAAAAGTGCCTAGTGGGAGAAGGCTGGTGTCCTGTCTTTGCAAGAGACCAGGTATAACCACCATTCTGTTTATTAATTTTCTGTGCGATGCCAATAGGTGTTATTCAAAATTTAGGGTTGTAATCTTTGAGCATGGTTTTGCAGATTCAAAATGTACTACAACGAGCAACTATGGATAGCAATTCACAAGTTGGAGCTATATTCCAAGTTTTGCAGACCAAGGAATCACCTCCAACGTACTTCCGTACCAATAAATTCACTTCTGCCATCCAAGAAATTGTTGATGCTTATGGGTGAGTAAAAGTGAATATCATTCAATGAATGTGTAATAGATAGTGAGACATCAACCACATAAGAAACTAAAGTTAAGAATTAAAAATATTCTATGCTTAGCCCGAGAAATTTATTATCACAATTTTATTGCCTAAATTGTTAAAAGAAGGGTTCTAATTGGACAAAAATGTAAATATCTATGATCAAAATTGTCTTCGAGAAAGCTTGTGTAGCCTTAACCTGAAGAGACTCAAGAAGATAACTTCTATGCCATAGACTTATCCAAGATTGCAAATTGGTGCTCAAAATTATGTTCCTTGTACTTGGTTATGGGTGTTAAGAGTGCATTATTCGTCTTAATGTTGGTTCTTTTTAAATCTAATCTAGAATGTGGACATGGAAAAATATTTGACACAATTCCTTTCTGAAATCAAATCATTGCACATTGATTGTGACTTTATTGGTATTCTTGTCAATTCAAAGGTTCCATCAATTTACGAAATTGATTTCAATTACTACAGCGTGGCCAAGTACCAGGAAGCGAATCCTGGCGTTTTCACCATTATTACCTTTCCATTCCTATTTGCCGTTATGTTTGGAGATTGGGGCCATGGCATATGCTTGTTTCTTGCAACACTGTATTTCATATTCCGGGAAAAGAAACTATCCAGACAGGTTACACCTTGCTTATCCATGTGTTTTTGGCTTATCGTTCATCTCTAGTTCAAACACTTGGTGTCTGCCTCATCTTTTACATTATTCATGACGCGAATCATCTGTGGCTGAAGATGTCCTAATTAGCAAGATATACTCTGATGTACCACTACTGACAGTATCTTCCATTTATTCAAGTAGGATCTGAAGTATGGGCCTTATTTGTAGAATGCCTTCCAATGTCGGTTATTAACCTATCCTGTGCTACGAAATAAAATATCGACTGGCACTGGCAATTTTTGGAAGTTCTAATCTGAGATAATTAAATAGAAAAAACTCTTAGGGTCCTATACTTCATTATCCATCTTCTGGTTATTTTTCAGATAGATTCTAATATCATATGTTTTCATGGTTGTTTTCTTTAAATGTTACAGAATATTTCTTTTGACAGGAAAAAGAATTTAAATGCAAATTGTCTAGAACATTATGAAAACACCTGCTTCATGTCATTTATGTCTTTAATCTATTTTGAACATTTTTTATGCGATTGTTTATTTCAATTTGATTCTGTCGAGAACAGAAGCTTGGGGATATTATGGAGATGACATTTGGTGGTCGTTATGTGATCATGATGATGGCACTGTTCTCAATATACACTGGACTTATATACAACGAATTCTTTTCTGTGCCATTTGAACTATTTGGAAGCTCCGCTTATGGTTGCAGAGATTCAACCTGCAGGTATTGAATTTGTACTTCAAATTTGTTACATCACCTTTCCTCATTCAGTACAATTCTCAAAATAATCTCATTACTCTATCATAGGGATGATTCGACAGTGGGATTAATTAAGGTTCGTGACACCTATCCATTTGGTGTTGATCCCAAGTGGCATGGTTCTCGCAGTGAATTGCCATTCCTCAACTCTTTGAAGATGAAAATGTCAATTCTCTTGGGCGTTGCCCAGATGAATCTTGGGATCGTCCTGAGTTATTATAATGCAAAGTTTTTTGGAAATGACTTGAATATATGGTAAGGTTTAGATTGTGTTGTGGAACTTTTTCATGTAAGCAGATGTTACTCAGTTGGCACAATTGTTTACTACATCTGTTGTATGGAAAAATCATTGTTCCCAAATGTTTTTTTAATATCTAATATCATCAGTATCAAGTGATCCACTAAGTGTCTTTACTTATGCACTACTTCAGGTATCAATTTTTACCCCAGATGATATTTTTGAACAGCTTGTTTGGTTACCTTTCACTTCTCATAATTGTTAAGTGGTGCACTGGTTCTCAAGCTGATCTGTACCATGTAATGATATACATGTTCCTGAGCCCAACTGATGATTTGGGTGAGAACCAGCTTTTTTTTGGCCAGAGGTTCCTCCAGGTTAGATATTTTGTTTTTCTGTGCGAATTGAAGACTATTTCTGCTTATCCTGTTTTACATTCTGTACTCAGCATTTTGCCCTATCCTTTGGCAGATTGTGTTACTATTACTGGCGCTAGTTGCTGTACCGTGGATGCTGTTTCCAAAGCCATTTCTTTTGAAGAAGCAACACGAGGAAGTATGGTTAGAATTTAGAGTATGTTTGGCTAAGCTTAAAAGGTCATAAGTAAGTAAGTTCGTTCTAGAAGAAATACTTTTTTATTGGTGAAAGATTGACAAATAAGTTACTATTTTGCTACTAAGATAAGAGTTACTTTAAAGATAAGTAACTGCTTTTACTTAAAAGAGTAAGAAAAAGTAACATGTCCAAATATATTTGGAACAAAAAGTGACTTAAAAATAACCATTATTTTAAGCTTTGCCAAACATGCTGACTTAAATTGCACTTATTAGCCATCCTTTAAAAATATTGCATCACTTCCTTATCAATTACCATTTGATGCCCTTACAGAGACATCGAGGTCAATCCTATGCACCACTCCAGTACACAGATGATGGTAACTCTTTTGAATTAGAGATTGACCATGGTTCACATGGACATGAGGAATTTGAGTTCAGCGAAGTTTTTGTGCATCAACTTATACATACTATAGAGTTTGTTCTTGGAGCGGTTTCTAATACAGCTTCATATCTACGGTTGTGGGCCCTCAGGTTTGTATCTAACAATTGCAAATTCTCTTCTGTGTCTACCATGCTAAGTGCTGGTATAAGTGTGTGTGCATACGTTAGATGTGTGCATACGTCATATTTTCTTTTGTTTCTTAGGTTCATTTTGTGGATTTTTTGTTCTACAACCCTTGCTTCTTTATAAATGGGGCAAAATATTTGGCCATATAAAATCATAATACGATTCAATAGTGTTGTATTAGGAAAAATCTTGTGAGAACTCAGCTCCTTCACTACTATAATCAGTCTCATTTCAACAATCTGTTGGATGTGCCGGATAAATGATGATTAAGCTGCTAATGAAGAGAGTGCAAAGATTTAGTCTTGATTGTCTAAAAGTGAAAAAGTCGTTTGAAAGTTTTTAAACGTTTGGAAAGAAACTTCTGATATCCTTGGGGCAAAATTAAATGAATTTGGTTTTCCTGTTGGTTTTATATGAACTTGGAGCCCGGAAATCTTTCTTCTCCAATTGATCTTTTCCAATTTTTGAAGTCTTTACATTTATTTATCTATTTTTAAGATGATCTTCCTTCACATAATCTTCCATCCTGTTGATAGGTCTACTTGAAGCTGTACCTTTTTCGCTCAATAGATTTTTCCCCCCTCCCGTGCAATAACTATTTGTAGAGCTGCATGAAATATTTGCATTTTTTGCTGTATTTCTATCATCAGTGTGTTGTTCCCTAAACGTACATTTTATCTGCTTCCTTCCTTCTTCATTGGTTTTCTTTCAATCTTATGCAGTCTCGCACATTCGGAATTATCTAGTGTATTCTATGAGAAGGTTTTACTTCTTGCATGGGGGTAAGTGTTTGTTCCCTTCTCTTGGTTTGCCTTGCTAGACAATATAGAAATGCTTAGAACAAAAACGAAAAATTTTGCTGTGACTCCGCCAAATATGCCAATCATGTGTTAGGTAAAGTAAATTAGAGGGAGTATTAGACAATATTTAGAAAGAACAAAAAGCTAAGATCTTGTTTATTATATAGTTGAGTACGGAACTTGCACTAAGTGCATTTTGTGGCGTCACTGCAGGTTCAACAATGTCATTATCCTCATCATTGGCATAGTTGTATTTATATTTGCAACTGTTGGCGTGCTTCTCGTGATGGAAACACTGAGTGCTTTCCTGCACGCTTTGCGGCTTCATTGGGTCGAGTTTCAGAACAAGTTTTACCAGGGAGATGGTTACAAATTTTCTCCATTCTCGTTTGCGTTGATTAGTGATGATGAAGAGTAAATCAGTTGTTTAAACAGAAAACTTGAAAACATTTTGGTTTCGTTGAAGTTTGGCAGTTTGATTCTTTCACACGGATCGAGGTTTTAGGATTTACCACGTATGAACATTTACACAAGTTTGGAAGAGATGATTTTCCTCTCCAAAGCACCGCCTTTGAGGTGCCGATTCTTATCCTTAGATATTGGCTGTTACTTCAAATATTTTCTCTTATAAGATGTTGTATGGTTTTTCAAAATAAATAAAGGAACATGGAATAAAAAATTGAAATCTGAGGCCAAAACATTGTACTATGCGACCGCATAAGCCACAATGGCATGTGGTTGCATGGTCATATGTAGGGCCTTTAGGCCCTGCTATTGAATGAACTATGCGGTCGCATAGGCCAATGACCGTTTTGGTTTGAATTTCAGTAGTTTTTCACCTTGTTATGGTGCCTATTCATGGAGTCTTGTTTAGGCCTATATATAGGTGATTAAGCCCTTGTTTGACACCCATTTCTCTCTCTTCTTTTCGACAACACATGCTTCAATAAAATAATATTACACAAAAAAACAAAAATTTTCTTATTTCTTAACCACATATTCTTTATTAATTAACTATTTCATGCATTTTTACTAAAAAATGAGGAACAAATGGGGGGTAATATTCATTACAATACACCTTGAAAAACATATTTTGATTGAAAATCATTCTACAAAAGAATCAAAGTTCCCATCATATTCATATTCTGTGTGTCCTCAAAGTTTGGAGGATTATACTAGTGTAATTAAGTGTTGAATCCTTGACAAGGCTTAATTATTCCTACAAACCATTTGCCGAAAACCTTATAATCAATAAATTTCAATCCGAGAGGAGGAAAATACCGTTTGAAGACAACGATTACGTGTTCTGGCCTTCTTTATCTTCATTTTCATCTTCTTGTTATTTCTATATTGTTTTTTTCTCCATTCCTCATTCTGAAGACACATTTCCCACAAACTCAAACGATATTCCTGCTCAATAGAGAATGAAATTACTAAATGAATCAAGATCTTGTTCGACCAGATCGCTTTGACGACACAAACTTCACGAGATTGCAAGATAAATTAAAATGTCTACCAACGACGCTGAAAATATACATATAATTGATCCGGAATTGGTGTTGCTACTAGAACCAACAAATGGAGAAACCAAAACCATAAAACCCGAAAGACAAAAGCGCTAAGATGATGAACTCATATGCCGTGGCCATATACTCAATGCATTGTCCGATCGATTGTATGATCTTTACACTAACTTATCCTCGGAAAAAAAAATCTGGAACACTTCGGAAAGTAAGTACAAGGCCGAAGAAAAAGGTACCAAGAAATTTTTTATTTCAAAATACTTTGATTTTAAGTTTCTTGATAACATTCCCCTCATTTTCCAAGTACATGAGTTGCAAGTCCTTGTCAATAAGTTGAAGGCAATCAAGATTGAGATCCTGAAAACTTTCCAAGTGGGAGCGATTATTGCAAAACTCCCAAGGACTTGACAGGGATGTCAAAAGAAAATTATGCATAGTTCCGAATATTACTCTTTGGAACAATTGCAGAAATATCTTTGCATTGAAGAAGAATTTAGGGCAAGAGATAAGAATGAAGATTCTTATGAAAGCAATTCAAAGGTCAATGCCATGGAAAAGTCAATGCTATGGAAAAGACCGAGCCTTCTAACAAATCTAACAAAAGAAAGCTTTCAAGAAACTTAAACAAGTTTAAGAAGAAGACTAAAGGTGGTTGTTTCCTATATGGAAAATCTGAACATTATGCAAAGGAATGTCCACACCGAAAAAGAAACAACTCCAAAAGAAATGTGAACTCCATCAGGGAAGACAACATTGTGGCCGCTGTAAGCGATATTAATGCTATCAAGGGAAATATTCCTGGTTGGTGGTATGATGCATATACAACCATATATGTGTCATATGATAATCGTTGTTCAAAATTTATCATGAAGTTGTTGGAGATCAAAAGATTCAAATGGGTAACGAAGTCCGCTCCGCTCCAGGTGGTTGGAAAAGGAAATGTAGAGATCATATTCACTTCCGACAAGATCGTTAACTTGACCAATGTGTTGTATGTTCCCGACATGAATAGAAATTTGGTTAGTTGTAATCTCTTAGGGAAATCGGGCATCAAATGTGTTTATGAATCCGATAAACTTGTATTATCCCTAAATGAAAAATTTGTTGAAAAATGCTATTTTTGTGAAGGAATTATCAAGTTATGTATCATCGACAACATTAATAATAATAATAATGTTGATTTTGCTCATATTGTTGATTCATTTACTTTGTGGCATAGTCATATGCAAGGCCTAAAGGCCTTGTTGTTGAATGAACTATACGGTCGTATAGGTTTGGCCTATGCAACCGCATAGAACAACAAACTAGCCGTTAAATGACCATTTTGGCTTGAATTTTGGTGGCTTTTCATCTTGTTTTGGTGCCAATTCATGGAGCCTTGTTTAGGCCTATATATAGGTGATTAATATTCATTACAATACACCTTGGAAAACATCTTTTGATTGAAAAATCATTCCACAAAAGAATCAAAGTTCCCATTATATTCATATTCTTTGAGTTCTCAAAGTTTGGAGAATTACACTAAGTGATTAAGTGTTAAATCCTTGAAAAGGCTTAATTACTCCTGCAAATCATTTGCCGAAAAACCCTATAGTCACTAAATTTCAATTTGAGAGAGGACAAATATCGTTTGAGAACAACGATTACATGTTGGCCCTTCTTTATTTCCATTTTCATCTTCTTGTTATTTATATATTGATTCTTCTCTATTCTTCTTTTGAAGACAAATTTCCAAAATAAGATATTTTCACCGTTTATTGTTATATCATATATGAACACTATAATGTACAAAATCCTATTTTTGGCCACAAATTATTTATTGAGAAATTTTCATAAATGTCATTAAATTTGAAAATGCACAAATTTTTTTCATTTGCACTAAAGATGTAAAAAAATGTCACTTTTTGGTGTGAAATGTTCATATTACTCTTAGTGACACCTTTTTAGGAGCATTTAATGATTGATTTGAAAGTCATTAATGCTGTGATGTGATGATTTATTTTGTATATTATAAATATTAGAGATATGATTATTATATTGGATAGTATGAATTTTGGTTTAAAAAAAATAAAGAATTTGAAAAAAAAAAAAAAAAACATAACTTCTTACCATTTACAAACCCTAACTTCTTATCCCTCTTCTTCATTTCATCATCAAGAAGACATTATTATTAGATTTATCATCCATTTTTCAGAGGTTGGCTATTAGAAATTATTTATATTTTCATCTTATAACTTAATATTTTAAATGTTAAATAAAACATAGTCATATTTATATGAAATTTTTGAAACTCTTATTCATTGATTTGTTTGATTATTGATATATTTTTTAAGGAAAAAGATACCAACATTCTTTAAAAAATGCGAAGAATTCCATAATTAATGAAGTATTGAGTTGTTCCTTATTTATTTTTAGGAAGATGCTGTGATGTTGCAGTCGAGAATTGATTATCACCATTAATATTTTGAATAATTTCTTCCAAGGAACCAAATACATGTTTTCAAGCTTCCCGACAATTTTGATAGTTCAACTATCGATTTGACATTTCAAAACCATCATATTAGACATCTCAACTATCGAACTCTACATTTAGAAAATATTGGGATAGATAATTTAATTGTCGGGATTCAACCATTCATTTTACCTTTTGTTATTGGTTGGATTTAAATGTCGACATATTAATTGTGCAAAGTTTTTACCATTGTAATATCAACTTTTCAGATATTAGTAATCATTTAAGATTCATCGTGTCGCATGGGGGGAAAGTTTGTTTATGTGAATGGCGAATGGAAATGGAGAGTAGACAAAATCACTTTTCATTTTAGTTCCGACAAGTATTACCCTATGCACTCGCTATGATAGAGTTGGTTATAACCGGATCACGTATTTCAACCCCTATTCTAACATAACTCACGTAAATAGGCTTGATGTCTAAAAGTAGTTGAAATTGTATTTTGAATGTTCCCCCCGATAGCGTTGTACATTATGAAGTTATATTATCATTTTCATTTTATTATTGTTTGTATACATTAGTCGTATTTAAGTTCACAAGCAAAATAATCACATAGACAAAAATTGCATACCATTCGACAGAAGAATGCTATCATTCTTGGCAAATGGTTGCAAAGTAGAAAATCTGACTACAAAAAAATATGTATAAGGGACATGTTCCCGAACACATTTTCAACTTGTATTACTATTAGCATTTTGCCTCAGTTTGGCCCGCATTCTCATTCTCATTCTTTTTCTCTCTCTTATTTTCAACCGCACAATTTTTTATAAAATAATATTATATGCAAATAAAAAACTTTTCATTCTTTTTCAACTACACATTTTTCAAAAAAAACTATTTCAACCATTAAAGTTTGGAAAGAATGGGGGCCAATCGGGGGCTTTATTATCATTTGCAAACATTGCATAACATCGTGACAGTTAAACTATCAGTCCCAACAAAAGGTTTCTGTCATTCTCAACTGTTGGTTGCGAGCAAAAAATGTAACCACAAATAAAATGCATAAGGGATAAATTGTTGCAGAAATTTTGGTAAAGACGTTGTCATATTTATCCCTGACAAAACTATATTACATAACTCAACAATTTTTTTCGTACTAATTGAACAATCCAACAAGTATGAAAAACTAGAAATGATAAAATGTGTAACCAAATGTGGATGCAACCACCAAATCATGTTTATAACCACATTTTTGGAGGGAAGTGAAATGAGGTCATTTAGTACACAAATCAATTCTAATATAGTATTAACAAATTTTGTCACACTATTTCTTTACTATCTTTCTCCTTTCCTTGGTGTATGAGTCGTAGTAGATACTGGAGGAAATCGAATGTGTGTCAATCACTGTTTCTTTGTGTTAACAACATCGTTACTTTTGATGGGTATGGTGGCCGCCTCCATCACGCTACAAGTTAAGGAACTTTCTTGTTGTCTGGGTATGACATTTCAAGCTCTATGACTCCTCCATCTATTTGAAAACAACATTTACAACACTAACTAACATGAGTTCATCATTTTTAGTTTGCAAATTATGGAATGAGATGAGAGTATTTAAAATTTTGAATTCCTCATAACTAATGT